TTTGATCAATTGATCATTCTGCAGAGGAAACAGAATGCCTCCAACAGTTGTCACTGTAGGAGAGGAAAACTTCCCACTTCCCTTCCAGGTTCTTTGGCTGGCCTCATAATTACATTGACATTAAGACAGATTAACAGGAGAAAAACAAATTTAATTTCATACGTGTACAGGAGCTCTTAAAATATGAGACTCCAAGAATAGAACCAAGCAGGTAATTTTTATCCCTTTCAGACAAAGAAATAATAAATTTGTGAAAAATTGACAAGACAAAGTGTTCTGGGCTTTGGGTAGTAAATTAGTGAAGAAGTAGCAAGGTTTGTTTATACAGCCATCTCGGTCCTGGATGCCTTATCTCTGGTGATAAGGATGCCTTCCACCCTCCAGGTGCGGGGAGGCTACCCTCCACACAGGGAATTTATTTCCTGCTTTCAGGGAGACAGAAGAGGGTCAGGCTGTCCTTCTTGCACTAGCTGTTTCTTAAGTAACTTTACTTCTAAATAATCAATATGTTGAAGTGGTATATTTTGGGGTGGCAAATTCTGCTCCCCTCTCATCCTCTTTAAGAGAGTTTAAAGATGACATGTTAGCTTTCTGGAAATCTTGGCCATTCATTTAAGTGGAATTGAAATTCGAATTCATTATTTCCCAAATGCTATCTTAGTGATAACAGGAGAATACTCCAGAGTTTTGGGTTTTTTTTTTCACCTTTGAGGACACATTTCTACCAAAACTTATGGTACCCTGGACTTCTACAGATCCTGGCAGGAAGTTCCCACTCACAAAAGCATAGTCACCCTCAGGGGTCACCAAGGAATGAAGAAGCAGCTTTCTTGCTGGCTGTGCCCTTCCTTCCCTATGCTGTAAGGACTGGAGGGGAGAGGGAGAGATGCCCAATTCTGCAGTCCCAGACAGCTGCCAGAGGAGAATCCTGAGTGTGCAGTGTCTAGCACACTACATGTGTTTGTTAATTGACTGATAATTCATGGTGTGACAGCCCTATGACTCAGCTCTCCTATTCAGACAGAAATTAACTCAGTCATCAAAGTCATTAAAAAGAAAAGGAAAAAAAAAACCCACTATAGTACGAGCCAGATGGTGGGGACATCAAACAAGTGAAAGGAAAGTGGCTCATCTTTGAGTAAGACGCCCAGCAGCAAAAGCTGGGCCCGGTGCTGGTTACATACCAAACTCTAGCTTGAGCAAAGCTTGGCAGGCTCTCTTAAATCTGCTGTACTCAAACCTTTCTTGGGAGCTGGAGCAGTGCTGGTCAGGTACGTGGGGAATCTGTCCAAGAGGCCCCGGCTGAGTTTGGGCTCCTGGTGGACATGAATAACTGGGCCAAGGAAGGCAGCACGCAGACCTGATCCTAACATCTTTGAGGCCTTGGGCAAGAAAGAGCACGAATGAAAGCCCACATGCCACGTGTCTAAAGATTTAAAAGTTATAAGCTATTCAATAAAACTTGTTTGATCCTTTTCCCTTGATAAACATCTCTCCGTAAGGACCTGGAAGGCCAGATTCAAATTTAGAATTTTGAGCCCTGGGAATTCCGCACCCAAATGTGCTGACGGGAGGAGACGCGGCCCCTGCCTGTTCACTTCTCTTCCCATGCCTGGTTCCGCCCACACCGCAAAGGGCCCCAAGCACACACATGCGGACGCTCCACTGCATATCTGAGCTCTGACCGTGCCCTTCAAACAGTGGTTCCTTGACCACCCTCTGGCCTCAGGGCTGGGCAACACCAGATCCAAATCCATCCCTGGGTAGACCAACCCAGGGAGATGCCTGTGCCAGCCCAGGAAATGTGCTCAGGGTTGTGTGGGGAGGAAACTCCTGGGTCCTGGGAGTAAAGACTAGAGTGTGGGTCGAGGACTCCAGATGGACTCATGCCACTGACTTCAAGGATTCCTCATCCCATGGCGAGAGGTGTCAACAGGAGAGAGACGGCAGGACCCTCTAAATCTGGGACGCATAGCAGGAGTCCCCCTTACTGGGGTCTAAGGGCTACACTGGAAACGGGCTGAGCCCTGTTCTCACCATCACTCACATCCCTTACACACCTCTCTCCACGTCCCCAGCAGTCAGGCCACAAAGAGAGGCCCTTCCTGGGTATCTTTTGGCCCATAAGCCATGAAGAGTTACCTGTAGTCCCTCATTTCTTTTAGAGCCACAGACAGGCAGAAGTAAAAACATTCTAAAGTCACGGAGTTGTTTCCCCTCACATCTCTTAGCAGTCCCTGAGGGGTTGGCAGAGACGTGGGCTGGGTTTCCATGCTCTGACTCTAAAATGACCAAGGTGACCTCTGGGACAACCCCAGGATCCAGAGAGGAATCACAGCCCGTTCTCTCAACCGCTAGATCGTGTGCTGTTTTGGGGAGTCTGCAAGCTTGAAATATTAGCACCAGCAAAGCGCTACTGGCCTTAAGGTACCCCAGCAACTCTGACTTTTAAGAATTTGAAATGAAGTCTCACTATGACGCCGTCTCCTTAACAAAGTCGTACCTTTAAAATATTTAACAACTTGAAAAAGGAAACCGAGTTTGAATTTCCCTATCAAGCACGAAGGAAATATAGTATTTTGCTTCTGTCTAAAATTCGCCATCTCCTCACACAAAGAAGGTTCTTACAGTAAAAGCAATGGCATTTTCTCCACAATTTTCAAATAAAGGATAAAGAGAAAATAGCATCGCAGCCTTTTTGTTGGATCTAACAATAAAGGAATAATATGGTTTTGCCAGGGGAGAGTTCTGGTTTTAAGCTCAGAATACAAAACTAGGCAGACAAATTAAGGAACATTCTCTGAGACTGCTGAGGAGTGAAGTTTCAAGAATACTGTATCATTTGATTACTCAGAGGTGGGTGATGATGAGGAACAAGCTGGTGGGCCAGTCCTAGGTGAGATTCTACTGGAAGAAGTGGAATTTCACCTTTCCTGCTCCCCCCGCTCCACCGCCTGCCCTACCTGATCCAGTCTCTACCCCAACCCAAAGCCAGCCTGTGGGAAAGGAATGGGGGCTGTCACTTGCCTCGTGTCTGGAATGCACTCCCCACAAACCAGCCCCCCTCTGCTAACTTTTCCTGCAGCTGCTTTCAAGGAACCTTCTATGATGCTGCCCACCCTCTCAGCAATAGCCACCTGCACCCCCCTGACTGTTACACTCACTGCGGTTGGTTTGTAATTGTCTCGTCTGAGTCCCCTGCCTGATTATACTCTCTGTTAGAGCAGAAACCATATGCCTTTTCTCTAATGTTGAAATCTGCACCACTATTCCCATGCTTGGCCGTTAATACGTCTAATTGAATAAATGAATGACTGAATTAATGCATGGGAACTTAAGCCACTATGCTGTGGCTCCCAGGGTATTTGAATTAACCATAATTGACGGCAAAAGCACTTACCCCTCCTCAAGGAGTCATAAACCTAATGGGTCAGCATGCGGAGGAACCAGGCTCGGTAATATGTTCTTTGCGGGCAGCCTACCCGAGGTAGTCAGGCTGTCCTTGGTGTGAGGTGGGGTGAAGTAAGGGGTGAGGATAAGGACTTGCAAGATGAAGAGAAAACTTAAAAACCATAGGGAAAGCTACCAATTAATAAGCATTTATATGTGCCCATTCTCATAAATGTTAATCTTGAATCATCTTTATTATCCACATTTTATACACAAGGAAATTGAGACTTGCAGGTTAAGATTGCCTACTTTCACATAGCAAGTGGAGGAACCAGGGTTTGAACCCAAATTGGTTTGACCAAGGTCAGAAAACCATCTCAGCAAGTCTCCTACTAACTAGCACCCCATGGTGGCATCCTGGGATGCACCCGTAGCTGTGGAAGCCCTTGGGGTCCTGGCTACCCACGGTGCGCCTGCCTCTGTCCCTCTGGCCACCTGCTTCTGCCCCTTGTGCCACCCACCCACCTGGGGGGCTCCCCTTCTCCATCCTCAGGGAGAGGGCCTAGCAGAGTTTCCAGGCACCACTCAGTACAGCATGCCCCTGTCGGGCAGAGATCTCCCCAGACCACAGCTATGCCAGTTAAGATTAGATTAGGCTACCAGCAAGTGATAAATGAGGGGGAAATAACAATAATAGCTTAAATTAAATAGGTGTTTATTATTCTCTCACATAAGAACCTAGAGGGTGAAGTCCAGAGCTGGTTTAGTGGCTCCAGGTGTCTGATATCCAAGATTCCTCTTTCTCTATAATACACGGCTTCCATTTCTAAGGCCACCTGGTCCAAAAATGTCTGCTGGAGCTCCAGCCATTGCATCCATATATCAGCCACAGGAGGGAGGATGGGGAAAAGACAGTGCAGGCCCCTAAAACTGCATACTTTAAGGAAAGTTTCCTGCCCCTACATCCCAGGCCGTCTCAATCAACCAGTGTAGACAGACTTTGTTCAAAGCAGAAACACACCCAGGTAAAAACCGAGTTCTGGTATAAACAAGAACAGACACTCTCCCTCTCAGCCCCTTATCCGATGCCACCTTTGCTCAGGGACACCTCTGGGCTGCTGTGGCCAGGTGGGAGCTGGAGGAGGGGGAGGAGTCGTGCAACCTTCTGAAGGAAGCCCGAGGGTGTTTCACAAGGGGGCTGGATGACTGGCATTTCTCCTGCATGATCTGTGAAGTACAGAGAAATTGGTTCTCTTGAAGCCACATCATAGCAGTGGCTGCTTTGTAGCCTGATTGCACCACTGTGCTTTTAAGGTGCCCAGCAATTCAGCCTTCTCCTCATGCAAAGTGGAGCATCTCCCAGTCTTTGTAAGATCAGCTCGCTTCTACCCCCCAATGAGTCTTCTTACTCAGAGCCATAACCCAGGCACTACCACCCATTGGTTGGAGAATTAGGCTCATGATTACAAACTTGAAATCTATTTTTGCAGAAGAATGCAAATGAGGGTGACAGGAAAAGGTTTTCTTTAGTTTGCATGTAAACCCTCTTCCCTGCCCCTCACAATCAGGAAATATTTGTCCCAACATGTTGTTTGTTCCTTCTGTTGCAGGCTCCTGCGGCTGTCTTGTCATGATACTGTTTGCCTCTGAAGTGAAAATCCACCACCTCTCAGAAAAAATTGCGAATTATAAAGAAGGAACGTATGTCTACAAAACGCAAAGTGAAAAATACACCACCTCGTTCTGGGTGGTTTTCATTTGCTTTTCTGTTCATTTTTTGAATGGGCTTCTAATACGACTTGCTGGATTTCAGTTTCCTTTTGCAAAATCTAAAGACACAGAGACAACTAATGTAGCCGCGGATCTAATGTACTGAAAGGCAAACATTTCTGTGATTTTCACAGTAAGGGAGTAGAATGGTTTTGGTCACCTGGATGTGGTTAAATCTGTCCATCCTTTTAGATTCACAAATTAAAGCACCCCACTCTCTGTGATAATATTTACAAACTATGTTTTAAGGGTACAGGTTGGAAAGTAAGGGGAGCAGAAGGAAGGCTCTGGAAGGTTGTTTGACCTGGTAGGAAATTGCTTTGCCTGGGTACTCAAGTCATTTGACTAGAACGGACAAACTGTTACTTCATATCTACACCACAGCGCAAAATGCCTTCTCCATCAGGGAGGGACCGAAAGGCAGGGGAAATATATTTTTAATACAAACAAATACTATTTCTGATATATCCACACATTTGTTGCCACAGGTATCGGAAAACAGAGCTGGAATCACTTTCCTAAAATGATAGTGCATTAAATGAGCACTGATAAAATATATCAACGTACTTTTGAAAAAGTCGTTTAAAGCACTGTCTTATTATTCATACCTGTTGGATGGATCTGCAAAATCTGTAAACCTCTAAAAGGAAAAAAGAAGAAACACAGTGCTTTTAACAGATATAATTGCTGAGACCGCTGAGAAATCATGAAAATTGATTCCTTCTAGTAAACTGGATGCAAAATGACTCCTTGGGGCTGTTGCTTCTAACTTTAGTGTCTTCGAGCACTAATTCCCAATTATGAAAATTATTTTACATTCTGGGATTACGATGGTATCACTGTGTCATCTTGGGTTTTAGTCTATCACAAAGCATAACCCAAGTAGCTTTTTTTCCCCTGAATTACCCATGAAATTGATCTGCAGCTGACCAAAGGCCACAACTGAATCTGGAACTCACCCTTCCTCTGTCCTCCATCTGCTGCCGTAAGTAAGCAGTCAGGAAGAGGCAGAGAATGGCTGAGAACAAACCACCATACCAGGTTCCTCTCCACAGCTGTCCAGAACTTAGCCCCCATATGAGAGGTTTGGCAAGTGCTAGTGTTAACAAAAAAATTCTTTTTCTTTATTGAAACAATTTACAAGAAGCAAATGACTGTATACCCGAGAAATAACTTGCCCTAAAGGTGATCTGTGGCCCACAGGCTCACATCAGAACACACTCTTTGTTTTTGGATGTTAGTCTCTCCACCTTCAATCAAGATATACAGCTGGAGAATTTCTAGAAGACCACAAGTCAGTCTAGTGATAAAGAGGATGCTCGTTCCAGTAAAGGGCTAGTGGAGCCCAGTTCTGGAAGTCTTCACGAAACAGTTCAGTACAGAAGCATCTCGTGGTCCTGTCTGCTCCTTCTAGGAAGGGCAGGAAAGCACACGGAGCATCACCACCACAGGTAACCGGCCTGAGATCCCGGAAGGCCCCTACAGTCCCATTTGACCCACCCCCCGCCTCTCTCTCTCCTCAAAGTTTTGAAAAACATCTAACACCAAGCTTTCTTCTTTAGAAAACAACTCCCTGACTATTCTCTGTTCTGTACAAAGAGAAAACTCAGAGCAGCAGCTGAACATCCAACGACAGCCTAATGGGCAAACTGGTGGGAAGTAGAGGCAGGGCCGCTGGTCCCTGCAAATTGGGTCACATACACACAAATAAGACAAGACACCCTCTGGGCCCTCAGAGGAGAGCACTTAAGCTGCCCCCTCTCCTCCAGATGAAACCCTTTGTCCCACGTGGTCTGCGAGTAACCCTTCCAAGAAGGATGTGGCCAGGACTGTCTCCGTGGCTCTCTCTGTGGGGACCAGAGGCTCTGGAATGACAGTCATCGCCCCAGGTGGCAGCCCCGGTCTCAGGTTCTCATGGGGACGCAGGGCCCCCTGCTGGCTCTGGGGCGGCAAACACAACGCCTGGGCAGGCGGGTGCTCGTTTCCGGTGTGGGCACACCCCTTCACCCCCAGAGCATCAGAGCTTTTTTTGCCATGGGAAAGAACGGCAAGAAGCCCTGAAAGTCAGGCCTTTCGGGACACAGCCTGCGGCGGTGGACGCGCAGCCCGGGCACGCGCGGGTTGGGGAGCGCGCAGGGCGCCTTCCCTCTGCGCGCACTTTACGATTTACAAAGGTCTTTTGCTCTCGTGCTCTCATCTGCTCCTTCAGAGCAGCTGCTCTCATGTCACTTGACAAGCATCCAAGGCTCATCAGTCTGGCTGGTGGCTCACAGATTGCACAACCCGAAGGTAATCCCTCGCCTCTCCCGCGGCTCATTTGCAGAGAGAGAGAGGCCAGGCGGGGAGGCTGCCCCTCCCCGTTCTGGTGGACGGAGGAGGGGCCCACACTGGCAGCGTCAGGGTGCACCAGCTGGGAGAGACCCTGGCCAGCCATTAGAATGGACACTGGGCCCAGTCATCCACCTATGGAAACCTGAACAAGTAGCCAGGGAGAGACTCTGGGTGGAGAGGAGGGAGCTTAACCTCTCTCTCAATTTTCCTCAGCCTTTCCCCTTCCAGTAAGACCCAGTAGAGGTAAAAAGGGTGGCTGTCACAGAAACGCTTCAAGACGGGTCCCAAGCCATCCACGCTGTTTTTCTCACTGCCTCACTGCCCCTGATCCCTTCTGTTTAGATCCTAGGAGCCTGTACTGTTTGGGCGCTCAGGGTGAGATCTGGTGATATGCCGGAGCTCAACCCCCATTCATCATGGTTCACGGCTCAGGGCCAAAGGCTGGTTCAGTAGCTAATCTCCCTCCTCTGAGTGACAAGGGACAGAGCCTGGTCAGTTTAGAGAAGAAGTACCTGCTCCTTGAAACAGAGAAAGACTGGGTAGGTGTGGGGCCCTGGCATCCATGATGAAATTCCCCCACAGGGGAACACCCTCTTGCTGATAAAAATGCTAATGCAAACTCAATAAACATATACTTTGATTTACAGACTTTGTGATTTCCCCCCACACCCCCTTAGATGCCCAGACATACCTGCCGTGTCACACCCAGAGCTAGGGCTCACTGGTCTATTTGAAATGTCTGAATAAGCCCAAAGCCGACTGGCTGTCCCTGTCAGAAACCTCCAGAAAGTGTCCCCTGCAGGCCCTAAAACACAGTCTCAGACGATGGTTGCAGAGACCCCAGGGGATAGCTACAGGGCTCTGGAAGCCACCCAGCAATTAAAAGGCACATGTCTTGAAGGAACGTGTTTCTTTACTACAATCTTAGTCTGAGGGACTTAGGCTCCCCTGGAAGGAAAAAAATGAGCTGCAAATTGGCTGTGTCCCTCACTGGGCACAAGTCCCCTCTGCCCCCTGTGGCCATCAGTCTAATTCGGGACAAGAGAGCCACGGGAGCTCTGCTAGCCTCTGTTCCCTCTCTCCTCCAGGCTGTTTGTAAGGGGGGCACCAAGGAGGTGGCTGGGCCCCTCGAGTAATTCAAGCCCATGCCCCACCAGAGACACACCGTCTCAGGGCACAGGAACCACCCGCCCTGTCATTGCAGTCTCCTCGGGTTCCAATTCGGCATGGACTTTACCTAGTGCAAAAAAGGGTATCACACCTAATTCACAGGTACACATTCCAGGATGCCACAGCTCACAGATTTGCCCTTAAATTGCTATCCTTCCATGTAGCCAAGGAAAATGAAGAGTGTCCCTTCACACAGGAAGGACAGGGTCTGATGCACATCTTCGCCAGACACCCCTAGAGAAGCTGGCGTAGACCTTCACGTGCTGCCACACAGGCGCTTCCTTTGCCCAGCTCCTTTGCTGTCCCCCTTTCCTCGCAAGCTCTGTGGCAGGCAATGCCGTGTGCTTCCCACCACGTTCCTCGGTGGCACGCAGCTAAGCCACATTTCCTGGCTCTTTTGCAGCTGGTGCCATGGGAATGAGTCTGGACAGACAGGAGGCAGGCTGAAGGGATCCATGCCACTTCCAGGCCTGGCGATGAAGACCCTCAAATGCAATCCTCCAGCTCTGTCTCCCCCTGGTACTGCAGCCTTGGAAGCCACGGCATCCAGGTGGTGAGGCTGCAAAACAGAGGCAGGCTTCATGACCTGCCCTGGAGGGTAACGAGAGTGGTAAATAAACTTCCTGTCAAGCCACTGAGTTTGGGTGGTTATTTGATCCTATCTTAGCCTCGCCAGCAAAGCCCTGTTCTCCAGGAAAGTTCCGCTCCATGCCATTGAGACACTAAGTCTCTTGAAACACAACCTGAGGTGAGGGACACCCTCCACCACCAGCCCTGAGTGGCTGTCTGTGCCACTGCCCTTCCCAAAGCTGCAGCCCTCTGGCCACATCACTCCTCACCCAGTGAAATGAAGACCAGAGAGTGAATTTTCTGCATAAATATCTAAAGAGTAAATAAATACTTTTGCTTATGCTGGTGTTCTTCAGGATTCTTTCCAAATGACAATTAATCAACCCCTTTTCATTCATTCAAAGAGGTTTTATCTTGTGTCTACAGTGGATCTAGCTGTGCAGGAGACACTGAAGACGGGGAGGGGGTGGCGTGAGAAAAACATGTTTTCTTGATCTTCGCTTGAGAGCAGAGAAAAATGTCTTTCAAGCCTCTCCATCCTTATTTTCTTTTTAAAGCTTCAGTTTATTATTAAAGACAGAGCTTTAAAAATTTGTGGTAAAAAACCTGACTAATCTGATGAGATTCCTGAACTATATAAATTGCCTCCAAATCAACAATTATCCTAGAGTTTCATTTCTCACAAAATGGTGTAAGACTTGTGTACTTACTGTTAGTTAAAAACTAAAGTTTTTTAACGTATCTGAAAGAGCCAGGAAAGGGGGGCTCCCATCCCCGCCCAGGTTGGGGTGTCACGTGGGTCGTGCTTGGGCAGGCAGCCATGTCCCCTCCGCGGCACTACCTGCCCCCACTGCCCCTCCTGAGGGGTCAGGGCACTTGGAGGAGGGCTCTTCCACAGTCCTGGGTCAGGTGAGTCCTGCGCAAAGCCCTGGGGCCAAGTCCACTGACAGGAAACGTGCTCCCTGTGGTTAGCCGAGGCTTCTCTTGGACAGCAGTGAGGATGACTGCCTCAGTTTCCCCAATGAGACAGTGCTGAAAAAGATGGTACTTCCTCCAGCGGAGATTCTAGGTTGAATCTAGGTGTCTCT